AAAAAAAAAAAAAAAAGAAAAGAAAATTAAAGAAAAGAAAAAGAAAAGAAAATATATAAAGCACTAAGCATAGGGCCTGGAGCTCAAAAGTTGGTTGTCCTCTTCAACTCCTTGTCCTTTATATTATACATAAACATAAATTACACACTATCATGCAGAAAGTATACTGACAACCATTTTTTAAGAGGTAAGCAACTACTTACTTATCCTAGAAAATTTAGTATTTTCAAGTGACATTTTTAAATGACAAATGACTTAGTAAGACTAATAGGTATGAAGTGTCTGGAGATGAACCTAAGAACAACCAACAAAAGTTTGTAGTAGAAACTTCTTGCATATCTAATACCCATCTCCCTTTCTTAGAAAAAGTTACTGATTTTGTTGGAAGCAGCAAGGGTTTCTGGAAAACTTTTGGTATGCCTGACTTAGGTACTTGTCCTTCCTGCATCCAGTTTCCTAGGCAAGAGATATGGTATCTGTGCTAGAGCATGTTACCACCAGGATGTAAAATTCAAAAGACTTATAAGAGTCATAGGCTTTGACATCTTTAAGATGCTGAGCCAATAACAGTTATAGAAACTGCATCACTATCTTGTTTAAAGTAGTATTTAGTATTATTTGGATTTTTGTTAAAAGAACCAAACTCAAACCCGAACTGATACAAAGGTGGTCACATTTTACTCCAATCAAACATGTCATATTTGCAACAAGACTCAAAGAAATCAGTAAGTCTCGCTCTATGTACAAACTTAATATAATACAAATCACTCAAAAGTAAAATCCATCAAGGAGAGCTAAATTTTAAAACTGCTTAAGCCAAATGAAATGTATCTGTACTTATGCTATTATCACATGTCATTGCCACCTCAGATGGCAAGAAATTGGGAGGGATCAAGATGGCAGACCAAGATGGCAGACCAGAAGGATTGTTCAGCTGAGCTCTCCTAGAATGACTGGGGAAAGAGAGAACCCAGCATTATCTGGTACAGGTACATTACCCAGAGTTATAGTTCAGGGAGCACAGAGAGGAGGTAGTGAACTCGATATAGCAGTGGAGATCTGATGAATTAGGCAAGTGATTCTGACTGGCTGCAATCAACTGTCCCCCAAACCCAGAGGTCCAAGATGGCAGGAAGCCTTTCTGGAGTTTTCAGTAGTTGGGGGAAGCTGCAATTGAGTGAAAAGCTTGGAAGAGTGGGCAGACTCAAACAGGGTACAGCAACCAGATTTGAATGCTGGTTGGAGTGGATTTGCCATAAGTTTGGTGGCTAGTGAGTAAGCCACACTGAGGTCTCAGCAGACAGGGGGCTGCCATTTGGGGAAGGTTGTGAGGTCTCAGCAGGGGCCTAAAGCACAGCTATCTTAATTCCACCAGCCAGGATCAGAACTCCACTCTTGAGACAGGCTGAGGGACTCCCAAACCCCACGGGAATTGGAGTCAGGGGGCACTGTGAGACCTGCCCCGGAATAATTCTTGTGAGCTTTAAGATCCCAACATGGCAGGGCCTGAACGCTGAGGAAACAACCAGCAATTACCAAAGGCAACTAAGTTGGGAATAAGGACCATAGAGATTGCTGGCTTTGCTGTCTCCCCAACCCCCCAAAAAACCCATAGCTCCACCTGGTGTCCAGGCAACATATTGCAATATACTGTCAACAACAGCAAGAATTTCTGTTTGAAACAAAGGAGGCAGTGAGAAGGAAAAGAAGGACAGGAGGTGAAGAAAGAACACATAAGGAGGAACCCACAGAACAATTCAGGCAACATGAAAACCAAAACAGAGTAATTCCCCCAAGGGACCATGAGGCAGCTACTGCAGAAGACTCCACCTATAAAAAAAATTAATGGACTCTTGTGGCGGGTGCCTGGACTCCCAGCTACTTGGGAAGCTCAGACAAGAGAATTTCCTAAAGCCCAAGAGCTGGAGGCTGCTGTGAGCTGTGATGCCATAGCACTCTACCGTGGGCAACAAAGTGAGACTCTGTCTCTAAAAAAAAAAAGGAATTTAAAATATGGATAATAAAGACAATAAAATCAATGGACAAGAAAACGGAAAGACAGAACCAAAAGTCAGACAAGAGATACATAGAATATAGAAAGGATATTGTAGAGCTTAAGGAAATGAAGGAGACAATCAGGTAAAGATGCAGTAAAAAGTATCAAAAATAGGTTAAACCATGGAGAAGAAAGAACTTCAGAGCTAGAGGATAAAGTTTTCAAGTTAATCCAGACAGTCAAAGAGGCAGAAAAGAAGGGAGAGGAAGTAGAACAGGCACTAAAGAGAACTACAAGACTCCATGAAGTGTTTAAACATATGAATAACAGGAAATTCTGAAGGGGAAGAAGATTGTCCCAAAGGAATGGAAGCCCTACTGGAGACTATCATAAATGAAAACTTCCCAAGTTCTACTAAAGACCCTGACACACTCCTTTAAGACAGATATTGAACCCTAGGTCATCTCAACTCAAACAGAGCCTCTCCTAGACATTGTAATCAACCTATACAAAATCAAGATGAAAGAAAAAAATTCTGCAAGCAGCCAGGAGTAAGCACTAACTACCTACAGAGACAGAGCCACTAGGAAAATATCTATACTTCCCAAAGCAATCTACAGATTCAAAGAAATCCCCATTAAAATACCATCACCATACCTTCAAGAATTGGAAAAAATAATTCTTTGTTTTGTGTGAAACCAGAAGAAACCCCATATAGCCAAGGGAATTTTTTGTAACAAAAACAAAGCCAGGGTATCATTCTATCAGACTTTCTGCTATACTACAAGGCCATAATGATCAAAACAGCATGGTACTGGCACAAAAACAGACACTGACATTTGAAACTGAACAGAAAACCATGAGATAAAATTAACATCTTATAGCCATCTGATCTTCAATATACTGAATAAGAACATACACTAGGGGAAAGAATCCCTATTCAATAAATGGTGCTGGGAGAATTGGGATAACTACATGTAAAAGACTGAAATTGGACCCACACTTCTTACCACTTACAAAAATTGATTCAAGATGGATAAAAGATTTAAACCTAAGGCATGAAACAAAAACTTTCTCCTCGAAGAAAGTGTAGCAAAAAAACTTGAAGATATCGGCCTAGGGAAAGATTTTATGAAGAAGACTTCTGTGGCAACTGCAACAAGGACAAAAATAAACCAACGGGACTTAATTAAACTGAAAAGCTTCCATACAGCTAAGGAATCAACAACCAAAGCAAACAACCAACCTTCAGAATGGGAAAAGATATTTGCATATTATCAATTGGACAAAAGCTTGATAACTACAATATCTATGAACTCAAATTAATCAACAAAAAAAGACCCAACAATATCATATATCACTGGGCAAGAGAGAGGCACAGAACCTTCTCTAAAGAAGACAGATGAGGGTGGCACCTGTGGCTCAAAGGAGTAGGGCACTGGCCTCATATGCCAGAGGTGGTGGGTTCAAACCCAGCCCCGGCCAAAAACTGCAAAAAAAAAAAATGACAGATGAATGGCTAACAAACATAGGAAAAAGTGCTCACTGTCCCTAATCATGAGAAATTCAAATCAAAACTAACCTGAGATATCACCTAACCCCAGGGAGAATAGCCCACATTACAAAGTCTCAAAGCTGCAGATGTTGATATGGATGTGGAGAAAAGGGAACACTTTTTTTTTTTAATTTGCAGTTTTGGGCCAGGGCTGGGTTTGAACCTACCACCTCCGGCATATGGGGCCAGCGCCTTACTCCTTTGAGCCATAGGCACCGCCCGAGAAAGGAACACTTTTACACTGCTGGTGGTACTGCAAACTAATACGACCTTTTTAGAAGAAAGCATGGAGAATCTTCAAAGAACTCAAATTAGATCTCCCATTTGATCCTGCAACCCTGTTACTAGGCATCTACTCAGAAGAAAAAAAAATCCTTTTATCATAAGGACATTTGCACTACTCTGTTTACTGCAGCTCAATTTACAATCACCGAAATGTGGAA